GTACATGTATTAGTGGCATATGGACATACAATGTACATGTATTAGTGGCATATGGACATACAATGTACATGTATTAGTAGCATATGGACATACAATGTACATGTATTGGTGGCATTGGATATACAATGTACATGTACATGTATTAGTGGCATATGGACACACAATGTACATGTATTAGTGGCATATGGACATACAATGTACATGTATTAGTGGCATATAGACATACAATGTACATGTATTAGTGGCATATGGACATACAATGTACATGCATTAGTGGCATATGGACATACAATGTACATGTATTAGTAGCATATGGACATACAATGTACATGTATTAGTGGCATATGGACATACAATGTACATGTATTAGTGGCGTATGGACAAACAATGGACATGTATTAGTGGCAAATGGACATACAATATAACACATTTTATACACATACTGCAAATGCATTGCTTGTACATGTACATACATGTACATGTACACATTAACATCATATTAACAGTAATCATTCAATGATAATTCACAGTGTAATGAGTGTATGATTTTCTAACACTTAAGTACTTACATCAGTCACTTGACCAGATTCCTCTTGTACATCAGCTAATGCTAATGCCATATCAGCATCAGTGGCTGTCACTGGCTGAACTGAACAACTTATAGCCATGGAGACAATACCTGTCACCATTTTCCAGGAGGGCATAAGAAGCAGTCCTTCTAGCTATAAAAATAAAAGAATCATAATACTGTATATCAAAGGCATCACCATAATGAGAAAAATAAAGTGATTTTTCTTACCAACATCAGATCCACCGCCTCTCTCTCTCTCATCCATTGTCCTGATGTCCAGAAGCTGCTAGGATCCCTTGAAGTGAGTCTATTATAAGTAGTAGCCATTGTATCTTTTAACTTCATTACCTATCACAATAAATAATACACATACCAGTATACAATGTGGCTGTCAGGATAATTCTATTACATGTATATTCATGTACACATACATGTACATGCATACATTGCTATAGAAAAGCAATCAATAAAAAGAAGTAGCACCAGAGAATCAGTAAGTACATGTACATGTACATGTATACTGTATGTAATATGTGCATTTGTGTGTAATGTCTGCTCACTTTAATTAGTCTAGCTCCTCCATCAGTCATAGGAAGAGGACAAGAGTAGAGACCAGATGAAGGAGAGAACAACAATAACTGCCTCAACTGGTGGAGTCACCTACAAATTAACATCAATAACAGTGCCTCAGTACTTCAATCATAATACCGTATGGCTGGTAATTGTAGAGGGGTGCTAAGTTTTAGTGATTGGTGGGTTTTAATTTGAGCATACTGCCATACACATAATGGTCCAAAATGGCTGGCTTTATTTTGGCCAATAGCTTTCACAACCTGAACTTGCAATAGATTACTAGCTATTTAGTATGCCATTATCAACCTCCATTCTGAGTACTTTCTATCATACCCAATGGTAACAAGACCTTCTATTGGGTCCCCTTGCCAGCAACCCTTCAACAATGGTACATCCTCCTTACACATTCATGCATATATTCCTTGGCTCGATAAAATGATGAAATTAAATTACATTTACCTCGTTTGGTAGTTTACAGGAGAGGTCACTAGTCACTGAGGCTGGTGGGAGTCCTCCAAGAAAGGATTGCAGAGGTTTGATTGAGCCTGGCTAAAGCTTCCATGTCTGGCTGGATAAAACGTATCACTCTTGGAGCTACTATTCCTTACGACAGCATGAAGAAAGGAGCAGAAAAGAGTAGGAAAAAACCTAGTCTCGTCCTCCAAAAAAGCTGAAGTTAAATTGAGTAAACAAAGAGTTAATTTATAGTGTTATGTACACACCCAAGAGTTACCATGAGGGGGTTGGTAAAACCGGGCTCGGGAGGGGCTCGGGCACGGGAAATAGCGGGCTGTCCCTAAAAAGCGGACCGGACCGGACCAACGGACCCGAAAAGACTAATTTACGGATCGAGCGACGGACCCGATACAAACTAATTTATTGACCCGACCAAGGGACCCGAAAAGACTAAAGTACGGACCCCGCGTTAATGACGACGGACCTGACCGACCTAGCAGCATAGATATCTATGCTAGCATGATTAGCATCAGTATTTATGATGCTAGCAAACTCCATGATGGCCTAGACAACATACAGAACTTCAGTGACAAATATAATTTTTATCTATGGAGATAGATCTACTATCTGTTGAGTCATAATACAATGCAGTGAGGCCGTAGTTTATTGTATTGATAAAGTCTGTAATATCAACTTGAATTAATTTTATACTTGTTCAAAACTAATAATAATATTATATCTAGTAGACTATAATAATCAATTGTTATATTCATGCATCAGCAATTTATGTATTAATTAATTTATTACCTTTACAGTGACCGGCAATGAGAATAGAGTTAAGAGGCTAGATAAAAAGAAACACCAAAGGC